GGAAGCTGAAACGCAGAGAGTCCTGTCATTCTGGGCAAATCATTGCACTTCGCTGACAGAGTAACTCAAAGTTAATGCACGCATCTCCCTAGTGCAGTGTTTCCCAAACTTGGCCACTTTAAGATGTGTGGACTTCAACTCCCAGAATGCCCCAGCCAGCCTTGCTGGGGAATTGCTGGCTGGGGAATTCCCTTGCTGGCTGGGGAATTCTGGGAGTTGAAGTCCACACATCTTAAAGTGGCCAAGTTTGAGAAACACTGCACTAGGGAGATGCGTGCATTAACTTTGAGTTACTCTGTCAGCGAAGTGCAATGATTTGCCCAGAATGACAGGACTCTCTGCGTTTCAGCTTCCTTTCGAACCTGGACCGCATTGCTTCTGAAAGATATGTGCCAAACGCCCAGGATATCTTGAGGACCCGGGTGCCGACGACTGGCATTAACGAATACTGCTTCTCGGTGAAAAAGGTGATGTTAAGGTAAAAGAAAAAGGGCGCGTTGGATTCATCCCTGGGTGCTTAGGGTTCATAAGGGATTCCTAAAAACAAGGATATAACAGAATCAGGAGATTAAACATTCAGGAAGGATTCAGTAATCTTTGTGTCAATGTCCCTGTGTCAATGTGCAAGAGCGACGTGTGAGCACAAATTACAGAAAAAGTTCCCAGTCTGATGAGTCTCACGCCTGAGATCTTGCAAAAACCACGGGCTTCACCATCAAATTCGTGGATGTTTTGCCTTGGGGATGAGTTGAACTTGACAGGTTTTGCACACCACTAGATAATTCATTTCATCAGTTTGATAGGATTGGATCTGGTGATTTAAGTTGGTTTGGAAAATTGATCCCAATACGATTCAGACATTCAGACCGGATCATCTTACGGGGTCAAATGTGCAGGGCCTTTTCTGTGCACACGTGGAACCATGTGAATCATTTGAATCAATTTGGAGTCGGACAATTCAACCGTTTGAATGGGCTTTCTGTTTCAATTATTCATCTGAGTTTGAGATGCAGTTGAAACACCTTTGAAGTGATTCTCTAAGCTGAATATTTGAGCTTCCCTGGGAGGTCTGCGTTCTCTCCTCAGCTCTTTTGTTTAAAAAAAATTTTTTTTAAATATGTAATTTAACGTACCTAATACATTATATTATTCTGACAGAATGGTATTTATACAGTGTTGATTAAAGCTTATTAACATTCTAACATTTAAATAGTTTAAGCCATTGAGGATACAAAAAAAACGAACAAAATATTATATATCTTAAGGAAGGTTTAAAATGCAAATAAGCATAAGAATATTTGGCTTTTTCATCCAGAATTGAATATAACAATAAAGTATTTGTTGTAAAATAAAGGTTTCATTTTTAAGCTAATTACTTAATATCACTGTATTGTTACTTAATGTTGTTTGTACATATTGAAAAGGAAAAGAGAAGATAAAAAAAAGCAAATTTGGCAACCATTGAAATACCAATAGATTAAGAAAAAAAGGGAGGGAAAGAAAAAAGGAAAAGAATATTCGGTTTCTTTTTTGTGCTTCTGCTAATTCACACTTTTTATAAACAGTTGGGCCTCCTGACTCCTTAGAAGTCAGGCTGTAAATCAGTGTTTTTCATATATTGCTGTGCAAGGTTCGTTCTTGATCCTAAAGAGTTATTTGGGTGGGTAACTGTAAGTACAACATCACCAGCATATTATTGTAATGTGTGCTCTTGATTTGCCAATTTGATTCCTGAAATTTTATTCTCTTGCAATAGCTTTCTTGCCAGTGGTTCTAATGCCAAGTAAAATAAGTACGGGGGGTGGGGGGACAATCTTGCCCCTTTCATTATCATACATTTTTTGTAATAAAAATCCAATTAAAATCACATTTTAAACCTTCGTTAAGATATATAATATTTTTTTCTTTTATCGTATCCTCAAGGGCTTAAACTATTTCAAGGTTAGAATGTTAATGACTTTTAATCAACACCGTATAAATACCACTCTCTCAGAATAATATGATCTTGGCTTCTTGTTAATTATAGATATGCTGTATCCATGTGTGCAAATTCAAACCGCAGTTTATCTTCTTCAAAATCATGATTATAAAAGGCCATTCTAGATTATCAAAAGCTTTCTCCACATCCAGAAAAACTATAGCCCCTTTATTGTTTTTCTGATTAATATCATTATTCTATATTAATAATATTAATATCTGATTAATCAGTAGGATCAGTGTCATTCAAGATCTATTTAATTTTGTTTCTTATGCAGTATATCGCTTCAGGACAAATCCACTTTTGTCAGGGTGAATTAGAGTAGTTAGAAGACCCTTTCACCTTGTCACAAATAGATCCATAAAAAGCTTATAATCTTCATTCAATCAAGGGAGAGGCCTATGACTTTGGGTGAGCTGGATCACTCCCCTTTTTATAAATCAAAGAGATAAAAAGAAACTCTTGCCATGAAGAAGGAAGTACTGTACTTGGCATCGTTGTGTTCATTGCTTAGGTTACTGGGTTCAACCTAATGTTCTGGATGAGGGACAAGTCCTTTTGAGTGACCAGACCATTCCTGGAACATCATGGATGTCTACTGGTTGGGAAGATTGGCCTTTGGAAAACCACCAGTCCCCCCACCCACCCCCCACAATCAGAATAGTTGAATTAGGGTGGTCCTGAGCTGGAAGGGAATGGTAGGGTTTGCATATATATCTTCTAACCATTTTGTATCAACTCCTTCCTTTTGCTGCCTGGAATAAAAAAAATGCTGATCCATTTCGTCGTATCAAGTGACAAATGATGCTGTGAATCTGATGAGGTTCAAAGGAATTGTCCCCCTTTAAGAAGAGAATAGAAGGGTTGCCTGAACTGACTCGGTCTTCTTCCTCTCCTTCTCCTCCTCTCTTCCTGTGTGATGGAATGGTTTGGTGAAGGCCGCGCTCGGGGAGATAAGCATTTCCTTAGCCCCCAGAAGGTGAAGAGGATGAGGCTGGCACCACCCTAAGGAATTCGCAGTGTTTGCTTGCTGGCTTGGGAAGTTTAGATTCAGTCTGACGAGATTCTGTCTCGTAGATGGAAGCTAATAAATGCAGTAGGACTGAAATAAATGCA